CATACACAAAAGTGGAGAGATTAGTAGAGTGAATTTTCATGTGCCCATGAAAAATTCAGCTTCAATAGTTTTCAACGCATGGCCAATCTTGTTTCATCTATACCAGGATTTCTTAACCTTGGCATTACTGACATTTTGGGCCAGAAAATTCTTTGTTCTGGGGGCTGTCCTGTGCCTTTTAGGATGTTTAGCAGTATCGCTGGCCTTTACCCACTAAATGCCAGCAGCACAAACCCCCCTGCCACTTTCTAGTTATGACAACCAAAAATGTCTCCTGGGGGGCAAATCATCACCAGTTGAGAACCACTGATTTGTAATCATTCCACTCTCCCCATCCCTTCAAGATTATTTGGAAGCAGATCAAATCATCAAATCAAACCCATTTCAAGGTGTATTTCTAAAAGATAATGCCTTCAATTTTGTTGGCCCTTTGGAGAGGAAAGGAGCAAAGATTTAATTCTTTTCCTATAAGAATTGTTGTCATGGCAGCTAGCCACTCTTGGCCGCGGAGATGGTCATAGTTCCTACCAGCTACTAGTGTTGATATGAGCTAGCAAACACAAAGAAATTGGTATCCTACTCTAGCCTGTATGGTTTTTTTTTCAATTGTGGTAAAATATACATAATATAAAATTTTCCATTTTAACCATTTTTAAGCATACAGTACAGTTCAGTGGCGTTAAGTACATTCACATTGTTGTGCAACTATCACCACCATCCATCTCCAGAACTCTTTTCATCTTGAAAAACTTGTGAAACTGAAACTCTGTACCCATTAAATAATAACCCCATTTCCTCCACCCCTCAGTCCTTGGCAACCACCATTCTGCTTCAGAGTCTATGAATTTGACTATTCTAGGTACCTCATATAAGTGGAATTATACCGTATTTGTCATTTTGTGACTGGCTTATTTCACTTAGCATAATATCTTCAAAGTTCATCCATGCATAGCATGTGTCAGCATATCCCCCATTTTAAGGCTGAATAACATTCCTTTGTATATATATACTACATTTTGATTATCCATTCATCTGTCGACAGACATTTGGGTTGCTTCCACCTTTTAACTATTGTGAATAATGCTGCTATGAACCTGGGTGGACAAATATCTCTTTAAGAGTCTGCCTTTAATTCTTTTGGGTATATAACCAGAAGTGGAATTGCTGGATCATATATAATTATATTTTTAATTTATTGAAGAACCGCCATACTGTTTTCCAAAGCACCTGCACAATTTTACATTCCCATCACAGTGCACAAGGGTTCCAATTTCTCCACATTCTTGCCAACACTTATTATTTTGTTTTTTATTTTCATTTATTTATTTATTTTTATAAACTGATCTTTTTAATATTTATTTATTTATTTATTTATTTAGTGTGTGTGCGCGAGGAAGATCAGCCCTGAGCTAACATCCATGCCAATCTTCCTCTTTTTGCTGAGGGAAGACTGGCCCTGAGCTAACATCCGTGCTGATCTTCCTCCACTTTATATGGGACGCCACCACAGCGTGGCCTGACAAGCGGTGTGTCGGTGCGCGCCCGGGATCCGAACCCGGGCTGCCGGCAGTGGAGTGCGCGCACTTAAAACCGATACACCATGGGGCTGGCCCTGTTTTTTAAATAATAGCCATCCTAATGGGTGTGAAGTGGTGTCTAGTTGTGGTTCAGCCTGTACCTTTAAGATGTACATCTAGTAATTGAAAAGCAATTCTGCTATAACCCTCCTGCTAGAACTAAGTGGTGCTGTTATGTATCTTTCCACTTTTGTCTTGGAACAGTTTGCCATTGAACGTTCTGCTAGCCATCCATGACTCACTCCTGGGAGGAGGGTGGGGGAGTGAGTTGTGTCTGTGTGTAGGGGGAAGCTTTTAATCCATAACAAAGTCTTGTGTTTAGGCATTTACCATTAATAGTTAAGGGAAAGGATTCAGGTTAGATACAGAATCAGAGACCATTAGAGCCAGAAGAGACATTAGAGACCAATTCTCCCAAAGCACACATTTTGTGAAAAAAAGGAATTGAAACCCAGAGCATGTAAGTCTCCTCTTCTTGATTTCAGGGTAGTGACAGTGTCTTGCTCACTATCCCCAGTATCTGGCATATAGAGTCAACCAGTAAATGATTGTGGAATTAACCAATGAATTACCTAAGGCCGCCCAGCTGACAACTTAGTGTCAGAACTAGGGCAGGTGATTGAAATATGGCAGATTGCTTCAATGGCCAAGTGAGTCTTCCTTTCCTCTTTTTCACTTGCTAGGGTGACAAGATCAGATGTAGTTTTCCCATAGTGAGGCCTTCTCTTCGTTGGAGGTTTGAAGTGGTCTTAAAGAAGACAAACCCAGGGCCAGCCTGGTGGCTTAGCGGTTAGGTGTGCTCACTCCGCTACTGGCGGCCCGGGTTCGGATCCTGGGCATGCACCGACGCACCGCTTCTCCGGCCATGCTGAGGCCGTGTCCCACATACAGCAACTAGAAGCATGTGCCACTATGACATACAACTATCTACTGGGGCTTTGGGGAAAAACAAGGAGGATTGGCAATAGATGTTAGCTCAGAGCCGGTCTTCCTCAGCAAAAAGAGGAGGATTAGCATGGATGTTAGCTCAGGGCTGATCTTCCTCACAAAAAAAAAAAAAAAAAAAAGACAAACCCAGCTCAGGAGACTGAAGAGGCATGGCCTGGCTGCATGATAGCCACCAGGCTTTGATCACTCATAAATCTATTCCATCTCATCCCTGCCCCAGAGCTTTCACAGTCCAATCTTCCCGTCCTTTGTTTGTATGTTTCTTCATTCTGGGGAAGCCCATTTCCTCATGGGTGCCTCTGTAGGTCTCTCTCTTTATGCTTCTAAACTAGGAGGTCTCCATCTTGCCTGCATATTAGAATCACCTGAACACTTTGGACAGCCCTGATGCCAGGCCAATTAAGTCAGAATGGTTAGGGATAGGACCCAGGCAGCAGTATGTTTAATGTCCTTAATCTCCCTCAATTTTTACCCATTTCAACGGTTTTCCTGATTGTTCGCCTGCTTCTCATCCCTCCTTAACCATGAAACTTCTTGTTTACTTTGGATCTAAAGGGCACATAATGTAAGAATATAATAATAATGTAGTAGGTTCACACATTGTTAATGTTACTTCACAATTATTTGCAGGTTATTTGTGCTCTTCTCCTGGTTAGATTATAAATTCCTGAAGCCAGGGATCATGCCTTCTTTCTCCTCTGTCCCAGCGGTTCGCAAACTTAAATGTTCATCACAATCACTCGGGAGGCCTGTTAAAACACAGATTGCTGGTCCCACCCTGGGAATGTCTAATTCAGTAGGTCTGAGGTGGGGCCCGAGAATGTGCATTTCTAACGAGTTTCCAGGTGATGCTGATGCTGTTGGTCCAGGGAACACGCTCTTGAGAACCACTGCTCTATCCTCTGAATCATTCCTCATGTGCAGGGATGCTCAGTAATTACTGGCCAACCAGAAGGAATGGAGCGCGTTTCCTCTTGATTGCTCTCCTGCATCAGTATGTTCCGCTGTGGCTGTGGGCTGGTCCCTGGGCTGAGAGAATGAAAGAACACGTGTGATGGATCGCCTACATAACTGATCATAACTGTCTGATCATATGGTCATACATGATCCTAACTTTGACTTCCAAGTTGTTAATTCCTTTCCATTTTGAAGCTTGCTGATTATTTTTCTGTGTGTGTGTGTGTGTGTGTGTGTGTGTGTGAGTTGTTGGTTGTGCATTTAGGCTATATAAAAAGATTTGACCAAATGATGCAGGATAGGATCACGGTTCACCTCCTCTCTGTCTTTGGAGGTAGAATGTGAGGGTGGGCAGTGGCGGGAGTAAGTTTTTGGAAAGATTGGTGAAGAATGATTTCCAAATAGAGGGGAAACTCAGCGCAGTCAATTTTTAAAAACGAAACAAAAAATTCTCTGAAATTATTATTTTCTATGAATTATAAGGGGTCCAAAGTATTCTTGTTTTTTGTTGGGAAAACAAAATGAGCTCAGATGGAGCTGATGTCTGCTACCTCCAGCCCTACCTCCCAGTGCAGCCCTAATGAATTTCACTAACAGCTACAGGTTGTTGTGTGAAAAACTGCCGAGGCTGAAGTTGAGGGTCTATTCAGATATTTATATTCTCGATCCCTTTTCAATTAAGTGCCTTCTAAAAACAAATTGATACTGAAGTTTTCATTCTGAGTACTCTGAAAAGTTTAAACTGCTTTTCCAGTTTTTATTTATGGTTAAATGACAATGTATTTTGGTCTTGCCTTAAATCTGCTGATCTTTCCGGGAGTATCAGGAAATTATTTTATATTTTCTTTTATGTAAAATGTTTTTGAGAGATAGATCATTGAGATTTTCTCTAAGGAAATTTGGTGTCTATTTTGCATAAGCAGACAGTGTTGACATTGGAAGTTTAAGGCAGGGCTGTTTCTTTTTTTGTGGATCTTTAGTGTCACACCTTGAATTTGAGCAATGCTCTTGCTTATTTGGTGTTAATTTAAAATGAGGAGTGGGAGTTATTCTTGAACAGAGAAAACAGCTGATGATTACGTTGGAGAAGCATTTGATTTCTTAGATACCAAATGAGGGAAGCCTCATTGATTTGATTCATTTGTGTCTCTAAAAGAACACATTCTTTATCTTAGGATAGTGCTGTGGGGAGTGGGGGAAGAGACCCGGAAAGCTGACCTCACAGTCAGCGAAGGCCATTTGCATTAAAAAGTCCCCTGTTTTGTGCATGGGAAAGCAACCTTGGCTAGTCTTAAAGAGTTGGAAAAGAAACTATTGAATTCCTCACTTCTTATATCAGATGAGGTTGTGGTTATCTTGTCAATCTCTCGCATCTCCTCCAAACGAACACTCTACTGAGGAAAAAAATCCAAATCAAAGTCTGAGATGCACCTTGATATGGAAATCTGAAAAGAGAAGAGAAAATTCGCACACAGGCAAAACAGTAAAGGTTTTGATGCTCTCTTTTTTCCCATGTAGGTGAATTTTGTGGCATGCCAGCTCTTTGCTTTGTTTGCTGCTTTCTGGTTTCGCATCTACTTAAGTCCTAGTAAAACCAGTCCTGATGTCCGGCACGCATTTGCCACCATTTTTGGCATCTATTTTGTCATCTTTTGTTTTGGCTGGTGAGTATAAGCCTTATAAATTCTAATATTTATCATTTGGGTGTTTTGTGGCCATATTTTTTGCATTTCCCAGACACTAAGGAAGGAAATATATTAAGTCTTATTGTAAAATCATGGGGAAGTTGCAGGAATCTCCATTTACTGTAAGAGCCTGGGACCAAGAAACTGACTACCCATGGGAAGTCAGTGTGGTGAATTTTTTCTTAAAATTTTACTTCTACTGATCTCCTCTGGGTCATGTCAATGGAATATTATGAGGTTTCATTTTCCCAACAGGGAGCCTTTTCTAAATGTTGTAGATATTGATGTTTTATTGCATGACAGCTGGAGATGTTGGTGTTAGTCCTGCACTTAGAGTAGAACAATAGTTTCTGTTCCCGTCTTAGGGAGTGGGAGTTATTCTTGAACAGAGAAAGCCTGTGGATTACACTTTTCTGTACTAGGTAAGCTGGACAAATACCCTGGGAGTGGCACTTCTTGGGGAAGAAATTTTAAGAACCAACATTTCTAGAAGTCCAACGTAAGGCAATTTGTGAATTTGTTCAGGGTACTAGGATACTGCTCCTCCTCCTGCAACAAAAATTTGAGAAACGATGATGAGTGTTTTGAATCAGGCGTCAGATAAAAATCTTATATCTGGGGCAGCTCAGTTTTGGTCCTGGTACTTTAGAATTAAAAAAAAAAGAAGTCTTGAAGGAAGAAAGGACTCCCTTCCAGACTCTCAAGTGTATATGTGAGCATAGTATAAGCATTCCATTTCTGGATTCCTGACATTACTAGCACTGGAGTTGGCAGACTATGTCATGACTTCCTAGTCTCATTTCAAGATATAGTATCTTAATTACATAGAACAAAAGTACTTGATTTATTTTCTCTTACATAAACATGAGTTAACAGATTACTTGCTTTTTGGCGGGGGTGGAGGTAGAGTAGCAGTGTGGGTGGCCAATAGGTATGTTAATATGAAATATATTCAGTGTTCCTTCTTCCCGCATTATGTCTTAAAGGTACTCTGTACATCTTTTTGTGCTGGTGTTAATGTGCTATGGAATCTTGGTCACTGCAAGCGTATCTAATATTCACAGGTAAGACCCTGGGAATGAACAATGCAAGGTGAGGTTTTTCATAATCTTTGAAATGTATTTTCCAGGTAAAAGGGGTACCTTCCCCATTTGTCACAGTGGTGTATCCTAAGTTCTCTGGGATTTCAGAAGGAGGGATGGGGAAGCCCTAAATGCTGGGAGTCTTTAGAGAAAGCTTTATGAAAAAGGTGGGATGCAAATTGGGCCTCAGGTGAAAGAGACTATATCAAATTAGGCAGCTCTATTTGTGATAACCCCAAACTGGAAGCAACTCAAATGTTCACCACAATGGAATACTACTCAGCCATAACAAGGAGTGAATGATTAATACACACGGTGACATGGATGAATCTCAAAATAAATAGGCCAAATGATGGAAGCTACGCAAATGCTATTCTTGAAAATGTAAACTAATCTATAGTGACAGAAATCAGAGCAGAGGTTGCCTGGGGTGGACTGGTGCAGGGAGATGTGAAAAGGATCATAAAGAGGCATGAAGAAATTTGGTGGGTGATGGATATGTCTGTTATCTTCAATTTGGCTGTGGTTTCCTGGGTGTGTATATACATCAAAACTTTGTATACTTTAAATGTGTACAATAAAACTATTAAGTTTCTTACTATGATATTTTGATTTTAAAGTACAGAAGTAATTTAATTCTACCTTGAAGGCCACATGCTTGGATAATCAATTAAGATACCTGGGGTATTTGTTTTGCATTGTCTCTGTTTCCCATGGTTTTTCTGAAACCTCAGTATTAATTCTGCCTCTCAGTAACACTGGAATGTAAGCTCTGTGAAAACAAAGACTTGTCTCTCTTGTTCACTGTTACATCCTCAGAGCCTAGAACAATACCTGGCATCAGTAACGGCTCAATAAATATTTATGGAATGAATGACCTGAATATCTTTGAAAAGACATTTACTCTTTTATGACTTCTTTATGATGGATTCTCTGAAAAAGCAGATGCTTTATTTCAGCTTCAGAAAGCTCTTTAATTAATAAGACTATTGGCACCATAGTTTTCCTTCTTAAAAGCATTGACATTTAACTTTTCAGTGTATAATCTTATAATTACTTAAAATAAATTTATGGTTTTCAAGGTAAAATATTTTCTTGTACTTTTACATTTTATAATCATTCAACTTAATATCCAAATGAGCTGCAAAAATTTGAATTCTAATCATCTCTATTCTAAGTGCCCTCCTTGAAGAGGATAGTGTCATTCCTTCAGAAGGGAAATAGGAAATCCATATTTCTAATTTAGGAAGAATGGGTTTGGGAAATGCTTCATATTATGACAAAATGCCCTTTTTAGTGGGGGGTGAAAATGCCTGGCTTTTCCTAAACTTGATTTTGGAAGCAATTAAATGATTAATAAAAATATTGCTACATCTCTATAGCAAGCACATTTCCAACTACCTCAGAAATTGTAATTTGTCTGCTCTGCCCACACTTGAGTGATGCTGATGGGGTGTGGTCCATTTCCCAGAGGGTCGAGAATTTACATGCATAAGTTCTTACATGCATTGTTCCGTACCAGGCCCAGGTTTGCTGTGTTCGTCTCTGGCTAGGAATGGAATACTCTGGCCAGGAATGGAATTCTTCAGCCTTGGCAGAGCTGAGCAGTTTATAGACAAGCGATGACTGTTTCACCACAATCATATTGTGGTATCAGAGGGCTGTGTCATAAGACCAAAAAGAAAGGATGCCAGAACAAGTTCTTCCCATCCTTCTTTGCCTATGTGTTTGCCAGAACTGCAGACGTAGGGGGTGGTTCATAGTTCCCGATGGATGGAAGTTGTTTCCTATTTGATGCAGGGAAAAAGCACTAGCCTGGAGTCAGGAAATCTGGTTCTTTCCAGCAGTGAGAGTTCAGACAAGTCACGCAGCTTCTCTACATCAGATTTCCCACCTATAAAATGCGGGGTTTGTGGGAAGTTTGAACTTAAGTTCTCTTCAAGACCAGGATTTCATGATTCTTTGTGAATTGTTCTCCTTTTCCCTTCACTGAGCCAGTTATAAGAATTGTCTCATATGGCTGGGAAGAGAAGGGGAAGATTAGGATTTGCTGCCAGGTGGAACCAACCCATTTCTGGACTGATTGTTGTTATTCAAGATTTGTCTAGAGAGTTCTTGGGGTACCACCTCTGTTTCATTCCCAAGCAGCTATGTTGGGCAGAAGTTACAGGCATTAATTTACTATATATGAACCAACTGGAGCAGAATACAGTTAGTATCTCTAGGACAGAGGCCTCGTGTGAGAACTTGGTGATGCAGTAATTTTGGAGTACCTGCTTTGTGCCAGTGCTAAGCCAGGTTCTTTTAAATATATTACATTTCCTTATTTTTAATATATAAACTTGTATTTAGTATATCATTTAATATATTTGTATTAATCATTTAATATATATAAATGTATTAATATACATTTCATATTTCATATCATTATTGCAAATATATTCTCTTTAGGACAACTCTATGGGACAAGGAAATGAAAGCTCAGAGAGGTAAATAGGTATATGGTTCAATGAATTTTCACCAAGTGAATACACCCATGTAACCACCACCCATGTCAATAAGTGGAATATTACCATCACTCATGTCCCAATCTCTACCACACTCCTCCTTCCTAAAATAACCACCATCCCAACTTCACACACCACGGATTAGTTTTGCCAACGCTGAGATTTGAACTCATGTTGGTCTGTCTTCAGAATACATGCTGTCTCTACCACTCCTAGATTCCTTAGATTTTTCAGGTTTGTCCAGGGCATGATGAATGCCTTGCCCTGTTGTATTGAGAGACAGTACTTGGCACCATTCTTGATAGGTGAGTCTTATAACAATTGAATGGAACTTGTTTTTCTCTCTGGGTGGGGGGCAGGAGAACGTATGGATCTAGTTCCTGTTGAGGAGAAAAGGGAAGCAGCAGGTGTGGCTGCATTTGAAAGGGCCCTGGAAGAATCTGTCTTTTGAATCTGCTTTGTGCTTCTGCCTTGAGCCTCATGAACTCGCTGGAGAAAGGGAGCAGGTGCTGGAGGAAAAAAGGCCTAGATCCATTCTACTTCTGCTTCAGCTCTTACAGGAGTTCTTTTTTCTTAGTCATTTGCTTTGTTCTCCATCTTCCTAGTTTGGAAACGGTTAAGGATGAATCCAAGGTAGGAAAAGTCCTTTTTGTGTAGTAACATCTATGTTTGCAAATAATGGTAAGGAGACATAAAGTTCTATAGTGCTTTAGAGTTTACAGAGCTCCTTCATGCTCATTATCTGGCTTTCCCTTGCTGCCAAATGAATTTTTATTATCCCTGCTTTACTATTCCTTAGGTTTGTCTAGTCTTCATGAGTTATTTTAATGTGAATTTATAAATTTCTATATAATTGAATATCAGAATATATGTCTTCCCTGTTTTATGACACATGTTTAAAAGTTATACCTTCTGAATTTATGTCTGTTTCTGATGGGCTCCTGAACCATTTAAAATGTTTAACATACTCATTTCAGTTCATTCTAACTAATAGTAAGTGAACCCCTCCTATGGTCAAGGGTTGGGATGCTCAAGGTCACAATGAGTTGGGGAAACAGATATGTATAATTTTAATATTATAATTATATATGTTAACTTGTAGCACTAGAGAAACACAGGCAATGGAGCAATGAATTGTGCTGGGAGTGGGAGTGGGATGGATGGAGCCAGATCAAGCCAGGTGACATTGGAGCTGAACCTTATCTGATAATTAGGCAGTTTCTAGATAGGATGGAGAAAGGAGTTGCAGGCAGAGGAAGGAGCATGCAGAAAGATATCTGGCCTGAAAATGCAGGATATAATTGTGGAAAGTGAGCAGTCCAGTGTAGGTGGAACATAAGGTGGACATGGAGCATGGCTGGAGATGAGTCCAGAAAGGAAAGGTACAGCTTAGGGTATGAAGCACCTGGAGTGCTGTGTTTAGGAGTTTTGATGTGACTAGGGTGTAGGATCTGTTGGAGACTTTTGAGACAAGTAACTTTTATTTGGTTGTTTGTTCATTCAACACACAGTAGGTGGCTCTGGTGAATGAAACATATGGCCATCCTTGCCTTCATGGAGCTTTTAGTCTCATAAGGGAGACAGTAGTTACTCAGATTATCACATATCTTTATAATTACAAATTGATGAATGTTCTGAATGGCACGCATGTGTGTATGTATTGCTAGCTTATACTGTAGTGGTCAGGGTCAGACTCTGACTCTGAAGGATGCTAGGGAGTGATCATGAGCAGGTGGTAATTGAAGCCTCAGGCATGGACAGAGCAGAGCACTGGGAATGTTAACACCTAAGGAGTAGGTAGAGGAAGGTAACTGAGCAGAGCCTTGGAAGAATTACCCAGAGAGGTGGGAAGAAAACAAGGAGAATGAAAGCCAAGAGAACAGAGTGTGTCAGAAAGAAAGTGATCTGCACATGGTGATTTCTATTTTACAAAAGGATCATTGTGTAAGTGTGACGGTTTGTAAAGAGAAGAAGCTGAGTGCAAGATCTTATAGGTCAGTGGTTCCCAGCTCTGGCTGCACATTGGAATTACACCTGCCAGGTGCATCCCATACCAATTGAACCAGAATATCTGGGGGTGGGGACCAGAAATCTGTAGTTTGTAAGGATCCCCAGGTCATTCCAATATGCTGCCAAAGTTGAGAACCACTGCAGTTGACCGGGTAAGAAAAGATGAAGGACTTAGCAGTGGTGGGAAGGTGAGGAGAGGGGAGGGACTGGGGTGTGGATAGACCAGATAGGACTTTGTGACTAATTTCAAGTGGGGGCTGAGGGAGAGGAAGAAGAGAAAATTGTTAGGCGTAATAATCTGAGCCTCTGTGTTTTTGGTTTCAGATATTCCCTTTTTGTAGCAATGGGATACCTTACAATATGCCACATCAGCCGAATCTACATCTTCCGCTATGGAATTCTCACTACAGACTTTTCTGGGTGAGTATCTTAATTTGGGTGAGGGCAGTTTGACTGCTGACTTTGACTCAGTCTCTTGGGGTCTGTAAAGATCAAGCATGCACATAAGAATCATGGGTGGCTGGTTAAATCAGTTGGTAAGACTTTGCTAATGAGGTTGAGGTTGAAGATTAGATTGCTCTGCAGGACCGTTAGCTCTGCTGTGTTGTAAGGTAGGAGTTGCAAACTATGGCCTGTGGGCTGTGTCTGTCTCAACGCCTGTTTTTGTAGAGTTGCATTAGAACACAACCAGGCACTTACTCATTTATGTATCGTCTCTGGCTGCCTTTGCACTGCAATGGTAGAGTTGAGTAGTTGTAACAGAAACCATAGGAGCCAGAAAGTCTAAAATATTGATTATCTTGCTCTTTACAGAAAAAGTTTCCCAATACCTATTCTAAGGCCCTTAACATAGGGTTGGTGTTTTTCTCTTACTAGTTAATAATACAGAAATTCTTCCATATTAACTGATAAATAGCTGCCACCTGACCCCCTTGAGTGCCTGCTGGCTGCCCCAGCCCCTCCCCCGAGACCCCCAGATTTCCAGGAACTAGAAGGGCCCCCAGCACAGCAGGGGGCTCCACGCTAGTAGTAAAAATTTTCTCTGTCACTAGGCTTTGCCCTGGTGGGCCGCCCTTCTCCTGATCGGTCAGCTGGTGAAGACTATGGAGGGATCAGTGGAAATTTTATGCTCTGGTGATGTTCAGGAATTTTTTATGAATCTTAAGGAATGGATGCTAAAGCAGAATTATTCCTCATAACACATTGTATATTATCCACAATACTTCCTTAGGAGTTCAGTTCTGAGGTCAGGGAGAACCTGAATTGCATTTGAGAGAATGAATTGCATTTTATTGAATGAATTATTGGAGAATAGGCAATGAAATAAAGCGGTTACAACTCACAGCTCATCTCTGTGAACTTTGCAAGTTGTGCAACTAAACTGTCCCACCACGAAGAGGCTTAGGAAGGCAACGTGTTGCTTTGGGGCACAAAGACTGTTGCACTGACATTTCCGTGACCGTCGTTTGGTCTTAGCCTGGCTTTTTTGTGCATCAGCCCTTCTTACCCTCAGGCCTCTGGGATTTCACTTGTTTCTCTTTGAGTTGTCTCCTTTCTGCGTTCCTTTCCTCCCAGATTGTGGAGCATGGTTTTTCAATTTGTCTGAAACAAGTTCACAGACTTCTTTTTATTCTTTAATGATGTGTGTTGCTAGCAAAATATGCAACATATGGGAGCAACAAAGATAACAATATAGCCAGGAAGTTATAGCATTAAGAGAAATTTTTAAACAGTGATCATAACTCTCCCCAGTATTTAATCAATAAATGGCATTTATTTGGTTTCACCCCAGAACTGTGTCCCTGCCCCCCCATACTTAGAAGAGTTCCTGGCACTTAATAGGTGTGCAATAAATGAATGTGTGAAGTACCTAGTATTTGTCAGTCTTTTTTTCAATACTTCCAGAAGCCTTAAACAGCCCCTCCAGCCATATTTGGTTGGGGTATTGAACAAAAAACTTTGACTTTAGCCCAAAGTAGATTATTATCAGTTTCTCATCTATAGGATCTTTTTAGGGCACAAAGTGTATATTCATTCATTCATTTCTGCAATGATTTTTGAGTCTCCAGTATGCTGGGCACAGTGCCAGGTGCCAGAGGAAGGGTATTCCAGGCAGAGGGAACAGCTCTGCAAGAGGACAGAGATGTGAAACAGATGCCTGTGGAGGTCACAGAAAGCCACCTCCCTTTCCCTTACCACCAGCATCCCTATGTCACCAGGTTCTATCAGGTTGGCAGCCTGGCTGTTGCTAGGCTCCATCCACTGCTCTGCATGCCCCCTGCCACCACCCTGGACATGTCTACACCTTTCCTAACTGGCCGTCCTTCCTTCCACCCTGTCCCTGGTCCAGTCTGTGCTCTCTACACCAACCAGAACGAGGTTCTAAAATATCAGGCAGATGAGGAGCTGGATCTGCCTCTTCCCCTGCCATCTCCTGCTCCCATTGTGCACTGTAGATGGCAGCAATGCTGAAAAGTTTATGGTCCCCGACACGCTAGGTTAGTTCGTGTCTCTGTGCCTGTGCCTTGCTCATTCGCCTGATTAGAAGGCCCTTTACCATCCTTGTCTGTGTGGAAATCTCTTACTTCATTTTCTAAAACTCAGCTCAAAGGATCACTGCTTTACAAAGCTTTCGCTAACTGCCACCCCCTCCCTCCTCGTCCCCTTCCTCCACCTCGAGTTAGTCACTGCATTTTGGACCTTGCACCTGGCTTTCAATGGCTGGTGCTGCCCGTTGCCTGTCAATCATTCTCACCGAGACCCTGGTACATGGAGTGTTTGTAGCGGGCAGGGACAGGTACTTCTGCTTTCATCAGTGGATTTGTATGCTTATCTAGTGTCATATCCCCAAACTTGTTCATTCCAGTTTGTCCTTACATATAAGCTGATTATATATGAATGTGAAAGAGATTTAGGAGAACCTAAATTTAGGTTGGGTCCTTTGGAAAGCCACCAAAGCAAGTTTAGTGTGTTCAAAGTAATAGCTGTTGAATTAAATGTGGGTGAGAATGCTGAAAGGGTGTGTGGGAGGATTACAAAAATTAAGGATTCTGCACTCAGATTGCAAGCATCTGTACTTGCTTTTACTTTCTCAGCCCATGTTAGAGGAAATGAGAGAGTGGATTGGGTTTATGTAAGAGAGATGCCGTCATTCAGCAGATCCATACTCCATGGAAAGGCTGTGGTCCTGCATCAAAAGGTTCATTCATTCATCATTAAGCAGACACCGATTGAGAACTCTGTAAATGCCAGGCACGGTTACAAGAGACAGGAGTGAGCAAAGACTGCAGAATGAATGTACAGTTATCTGTTTTGAGTTTGTATAAAAAGTTCAAATATGAGCATTTCATTGTGTACTGGGTTGATTTGTGTTCCTCCAAATTCATGTCCACCTGGAATCTCAGAATATGTCCTTATGTGGAAATAGGATCTTTGCAGATGTAACTAGTTAAGATGAAGACACACTAGATTAAGGTGGACCCGAAATTCATTATGACTGGTGTCCTTATAAGGCCATGAGAGACAGAGACACATAGAGGGCAGAGGGCCATGTGACGATGGCGGCAGTTATAAGGGTGACACAGCTACAAGCCGAGGAACTCCAAGAATTGCCATCAGCCACCAGAAGCTAGGAAGAAGCACAGATCAGATTCTCCCTCTGAGCCTCTGGAAGGAACCAATTCTGCCAACACCCTGATTTTGGACTTCTGGCCTCCAAATCTGTGAGACAATGTTTCTGGTTTTAAGCCGTCCGATTTGTGGTAATCCCTTATGGCAGCTCTAGGAAACACATTATTTTATGATTGCACACCTTTTGGTAAACTAACAACTGTCCCCTGCTCCTGATCATGCAGGATAAGAGTGCCTCTACTGCCCATGTGTCTCCCTGCTCTTGTCACACCCTCCTCCTCCATTGGTTTTATTCATAAAACCATAAACTCTGGAATGATTGTTACATCATTTCTAGTATAATCAGAATTGTGGAAAGTTACTGAAAGGAAAAAATAAAGGGCATTTGTGGAAAACAGCAATGTGCTTGTGGAATGTGGTGGATTTGGGGTCTGACAGCAGGGGAGGATGGAAATCAGTTTCTGTCAACTTTACTTTCAGCAATGTCGTCACAATAAATTTCCTCAAGTGATGTTTGTTCTCTGGTGGTTTTTGGATCTCCTTGTATTAAGAAATCTCTGACATTACACACAAAACCACAGAATGTTTGAACTAGAAAGGACACTGTTGATAGGGAAAGGGTACAAAGAAAAATGTGTCTGTTACCTGTAAATGGCATGCAGTTTAGTTCTCTTAATTGCTCAGTGGCCATACTATCCAGTTCTTGGGGCATATGTCTTTTTTTACTTTTTTAATTATAGAGCATTATTAAGCAGCACTATGTTTTCCCTATCACCATAAATGCACAGTGCCTCAAGGCACTGACATAAATCCGTCTTCTTGGGGAATGTCAGTAAACATAAATAGAGAGGTACCTACCAACCTGAAATTGACAAGATGTTTAAAATCGCAAATTGTCAATTAGATTCTTTACCAATGTCTGTTCTCATTATGCATGCAAGCAACCACCAGTTATCCTTCAGAATGTAATTTAACATTACTATTTATTTCAGTTTAAATTTAAGATTTTATTGAGGAATAAAGTAGTGTTTTGAAGTTGAACGTGGTGTTTTAAAGCAGCCTGATGCAGTACCTGTTCTCTTTTGAGCATGCATCCGCTTCCAAGGGCGTAGCATATCTTATTACACCTTCAGAATAAGAGCACATCAGGAATTGAATGGGATTGGACTAGAATAGTGTTTGTGTCAAACAATATATATATGTTTTTAATTTTGGGGAACACACAAAGTTGTTGTATTTTAGATTATTCTAGGGCTTGAAATTTTATTTATTCTGACAGTAATCAAGTTTTCATGGCTGGACTGGTGTTAATGGTGAGGGTAACACACAAGATACACTTTTATTAGTGCTGCTGATACAATTTATATCAATACACATAGTGATGAATGTCTTCTGTGATTTCTCTGTGAACGTGGGCTGTTAAAAATAGTAGAACATTTACGGTTCCCTAGGGGATGCTCAACTATTGCTTATAATAAAGCTGGTACTTGATTCCTTTTAAGTTTGTGATAGTGAACTAACTCTTCTTTTTTGCTCACAGAAGAGTGCAGATCGAGTTTTCTTCTGACAGAAGCAGCAAGAAGCACCCTTATGTCTTCTTTGCAGGCTAGGCCAGATTCAGGCAGATAATTGCTCTCCCATCACATTGGCAATTTGCGTTGCCTGTGCGTTTTTGAAAACATTATGAAATGAGAACTCTTATACACTGCTAGTGGGAGTATAAATTGGTACAACTCTTCTAGAAGGCCATTTAGCCATAAATTTCAAGCAAGAATTTTTTTTAAAATTCA